GCCTAGAGTACAGTTAAGAGCCAGTGGCTTGGCTGCTTTGCTTTTCTGATCTTCATCATGAACCTTGAACCCCAACATCTGTCTCTGGGTCTTTTATTTTTCATGTTACACAAACTGGTCCTCTATTCTCTTTGAAATTTAATTCAAACCAGATTCCCATATACATCATTATCCTCAATCACTAGTGATCTCAGCAATTTGCTAAGATTCATGGATACAATTTCCCATAAATACTTATCCATCACTCAAGAAATTCTGAATATCTCCTTTGCTATTTCCTTCCATGCTTCCCTCAATATTTCTGGGAAATGACCTGCTTAGTTATATGACCAATCATCTTTGTCATCAGTCAATTACTCCTCATCTTCTGTGGTCCGCTATACAGTGTTTCCCTGTACAATGATGCCCATGTCTTAATCCCTATAATCTGTTCACAGACGGCAAAGGATGATTACTTAACAATCACGAGATAAGAAAATTATCCTGAATTATCCAAGTAGATCCTAGAAATCACAAGGATCATTCTAGAGGCAGAAGACCAGAGTAATCCCAGGGCATGTGACAGTAATGGTGCAAGGAAAGGGCCAAGAGGCATGTAATGCAAGCAGCATGGAAGAAAAGAAAAAGCCAGGAAGTGTCTCCTCTCAAGCTGCTTCAGGAGTGGCAATACCCTGACAACATCTCCAGAACTGTTAGGTTGTTTTAATTCATGGAGTATCTGGCAATTTTTTAGAAACAGCCATATGAAGTAACAATCCCTCCACAGGATCGAAACTTTGGTGCAGTCTTTTGTTTTCTTCTTCTCTGTCTACAATCATTTGATGATCCTGGACCAACTCAAAGCATTAAATACCCACATGACGGCAGCTCTACGATTATCTGTCTAGCTGTACAGAAGTCTAAGTGTAGTAAAATTTCTCTGTTTCTAAAATCCCAGGCTACAGTGGACTCAACTTTTGCCAGTCCCAGCCAGTTATATCTAGACCCATGTCCTAAAAGCTAAGAGAAATGCAATGGTAAAAGAAAGGAACGATTTTTTTTACATGTGTCTGTGTACAGATAGATAAGAGATAGAGATAGATAAATAGATAGATAGATAGATAGATAGATAGATAGATAGATAGATAGATAGACAGACCAATAGATAGATGACAGACAGATAGAGTGTAGTATTAGCAGACACCACAGAAGATGGTAAGGTTCCCAGTTTCTAGAGCTGCTTCACTGACTTTGATTCACCCAAGTGTTCTGTACAGAAAATGGAATTACATGATTTACATCTCCATATAATGCTACCTTCAACCTCCACACCTAAATTCTGATTCATAACACACAGTCCTGGCAGTGTCTAGAATGGGTCAGTCAATCAGGTACCTGTATTCATGCTCTATTATAACTAATTCAGCAGGAGTAGCAGCCATGGGAAAATCCAGCTTACTTTGGCCATACTAGGTCACATTCTAACATTCCGGGACCACTGTCTGAGGGGAATGCAAAGGTGGACTCCCTTTTATCAATATGTCTTTTCCAAGGAACTAACAACCTAAAGGAAAAATCAGAATCCCATGTGTGATTTCATCAAAAACTGCTTCAGCATTGAAAATATGTTTAATGTCCTCCATGTGTAAAAACGAATATCAAGCCCCATCCCTCTTATGCTGTAACTCCCTGAGGATTATTGCCAAATCATATTTGACACATGTACGTTACTCATGTCCCTAGTTTTGGTAGGCTCAAATATGTCCACATCATTGTGGACACCTACTAATTGCTCTTTTTTGCTGTTCCCCTATCAGCAGAAGCAGTTAAGGGGGTTATTGCCTTTTTACTAAGCACTTTTACTATTTTAGACCCCTGTGAAACATTAAGAACTGACAATGCTCCTGCCAAGCCTTTTCCGGAATTTTGCCAACAGTATGCTGTAAGCCACATCACAGGCATTCCACATAACCCTCAAAGTCAACCTTTTGTGGAAAGAAATAATGGACAACTTAAACATTATTTACAATCAAGGAGGAGGGGAAGGGTAGTATGTCTTCTATTCTATACACTTTAATTTTTGTTTTTTAATTTGGGCAAGGCTTAGCTAACTAAATTTTAAATTTGGCATTACCTCTGTAGATCATTTTGGGCCCCTCCACAACAATTCAGGCTCAGGGTTCTTTGGAGAAATGGTACATCTGGTTAATGGAATGGCCCAGATCCAGCAATTCACTGGAGCTGTGGCTAGGCTTGTATGTTTCCTTGGGGTGTAGAAAAGCCAGTAGATACCTGAAAGACTGAGTCAATCTTTGGAAGGGGAATGGAAAGTGTCTAAGAGGCTTCACCTGAAGAAAACAACATGAATAGGGCAACTGAGTCATCAAGCCAAGAACAGAGTCTACCAACAATGACTCAGATGAGGAAACCAGTGACTGAGGGGAAAGGCCTGGTGAGGTCTCAGGGAGAGGTGTGAACAAAGAATTGCTGTTCCTTGATCCTTGTCTCTGGTGAAGGGGTTTGTTACAGCTAAGATACACCAGGCATAATGCCCCATCCTGTGTTTTACTTTGTTAACCAAGAAGAGAATAGCATTCCTGTTATATGTATATTTCTACTCTTGTTTAAGTACTGTGTTTATACAGGTCTTTTAAAAATGTAATGTACAATTAAATACAGATTATAGTCACCTATAGTAGCCAAAACTTATATTAGATTTTCTAGATATACAGAGACATATTTCAAAGACCAATGAAATACAGCATTTAAAATTGTTTAGTGTTTTTCATGGCAGTGAGACACAACTGTTCCTGGCAACACCAATTATTAAAGAGAGGAAGATGGGCATTGAAGAAACTCATTGTGGAGTTTGCCTTCGATGCAGCAAGACTAGCCATTTGGGCAAGAAACTGCTCTTGCCAGGACTCTTTGACGGTATGCTGTCCAAACTAGACATACAAGACCCACAGGAAAGTGACTATTGAATTTGCCAAAACAAGATGGGACTGTCCTTCAGGGTTCCTGCTTCATGGAAGAGTCTGCCAGATATTCTGCAGGACACAGAGAAAAATGACTGACAAACTGCCAATACAGGTGGGACAGTTTCAAATTTCCTGCTTCTCTGAGATGTCTGCCAGACACTCTAGGCCTGTAGGCTGAAGATGGATGCCCCAATGTTACAGAACTTTGCATCTCTGTCCAGGCAATGAAATGCCTCTGTCAATTGTAGAGTTTATATATTATCCTTCTGAGGTCTTTGATGGAGTTGAAGACAGATAGTTATGGTTATGGTATTCTTAGTTATGATAAAAAATAATTTATATGGAAAACTTTAGACACACAAAGATAGGATAGATGATAAAACATTTTCTTTAAATTTTGCTAAATGTTAATGGAGTAAATATTATTAACTATAGTTTTTGCTGGATAACTGTTTTGTTATATATAATTTTACTGTTAAAATTAAAACCTTCCTTTTTATTTAGACAGAAAAGAGATGATGGAGGATGTCCTTTTGAATATATGTTTCTCTTACTGGCTGATGAATAAAACACTGATTGGTCAGTAGCCAGGCAGAAGTATAGGCGGGCCTACAAGACAAGGAGGACTCTGGGGAGAGGACAGAAAAAGGAGCCACCAAAGAGATGCCATGAAGCTTCCGAGGAATAAAGGGGACCATGCAATACTGGTAAGCCCAAGACCATGTGGAAATACATAGATTAATAGATATGGGTTAATAATTAAGAGACAGATAGCCAGTAAGAAGCCTGGGCTATTGGCCAAACAGTTTATAACTAATATAAGCCTCTGTTTATTTGGGGCTAAACAGCTATGAGACCAAGTGGGACAGAAACTCCTTCTACATTAACCTTTCTAAATTTAACTGGAGTCAGATTTGTAATCACCTTACAGGAACACAGTCAGATGGCAATTTAAGCATTGACATTTAGGCCTTGAATGATAAAATATTAACCATTCAGCATTCAAAGTTAAATGAATCACCCTGATCCATTGCTGCACAAAACCTAGCAAAGATTTCTGGGCATCATTTTTGTGTCTCTAATTGAACATCTAAACTGTGATCCATAGGAAAGCCAAAAATTTACCATTATTAGTCTGAAAACAAGACAACCTGTCTATAAGGTGAGTATGGACCACTGTTTGGGAGGGCAGTACTGTGGGAGATTATCTGAATGCATAGCAATGTTTACACTGCACATCTGCATTCCTCCTTGTCAGGCTTAAAAAAGCTAGGATGCGAGGCCCAGTGTAATCTCCTGAGCCTGGCTAGAGTTTGGAGACCTGTCTCTGGCCTATAACCTACACATGGTAGTGACTCAGCTAGGCCTGATGTAAGACTGCCCCCTGCCTAGCCACCGGCCAGCTTGGTGGAATATTATTGGCCCTGACTCCTCATGTCACCTTACCCTATCCTAAGACTCCTATCCTAAGTTCCTACCTGTTGACATAAAGCGAGATCAGATCCTGCTTCTACAAGTCTCCCGACTCAGTATGTACCTCTCCCGGTTAATAGGAGCCAGGAGGGTCTGAATTGTCTGACACTCACCATCCAGCTCAGCCCTAGGAAGAGACTGGCTGGACTGGCCCTTCCCCAGCTCTACCTGTCGGAGAACTCAGCACCTCCTGAGAACATGGAATTTCTCTAAGTGCTAGCCAGAGGCCATCTATGTGACCAAGCCCCTCCCCCACTACCCCGGGGCTCTGAGTCTCTAATGGACTTCTAAGCATTACACACATGTTCCTGCATTTCCATTGCAGGAATTGCTTTCTGAGACCCATCAAAAAGAGGAGAGAGCTTAAGCAGCTTCCAAATGGATTCTTCCTGCCCTGCTTGAGTGTCTGTTCTAAGCCAATAGAGTACTCTATTACTCCACTGTATAAACTCTGCCATGCAGTACAGCTACATGCCGAATCTCACAGGTTTTTCTGGAAACTTGAATGTGGACACAGTTTTAAAAAGCACAACAGAACAGTGGCTTTTTGAAAGCCTAGAGTCTTACCTGTTGATATGCTTCATAAATCACATCAAAGAGAAAAGCCTGTGGCATTTCGCTTGCCCGGTGTTTAGCACGGTCCAGGGAATGGTCTAAGCAGCCATCAGCAGAGGGACTGATAACAGTGGACACCAGAGGTCTAATTGCTCCAGCTGCCTATAGGCCAAAAAATAAATAAACAAATGAATAAATCAAACACACATTCACTTTACCTACAGATCATTTGAAGGAAAACTCTAAACTCTATATCTCACTTCAAATACAGGTCTGCATATTTTCCAAAATCTCTCTCCAGAAAGTCTAAATAAATCCTCAATTCACAATTAACATCTAAAATTTAAAAATCACTTTCATGGAAAGGCAATTCTATGCACTCACTATAGTACGGAAATATGTTCATCACAATACATTCATATACAACTTCTTTCCCCATCAGAAAGCAAATAAATGTATTTGTTATCAATCTAGATGGCCTGACTTTGATCCCTGGGACCCTAGACGGAAGGAGAAAACAGACTCCCATGGATGGTTCTCTGACCTTCCCATGCACACTGTGACACAGGCACTGTCACACATCTCACACACGCAAATAAATGAAATAAAAAGTCTTTTCCATTATAAGTCACTGAGGTTAAACTCTATAAAAGAATGGTACAAGACAATTGGGTTTTCCCTGAAGATGGGAGGGAGACACAGACTATTGTGAAACAATTTAAATGAGTTTGAAATGAATGCTTAGAAATGTGTGCTTTCAGAAAATTTAATTTACACATTGGATCATTAAAGAAACAAACTCCCCAGTATCCCCCACTTTGAGACAAAACAACCTGAATAACGATGAATTTATGTCTTGCTCTAATTCATTTTACAAACAGTTCTTTTCAAATGTAATGTCCATGCAGCACTTCCTCAGGCAAGCCATCCATTCATTTCCATTTCCACAATGGAAGCTCTGTCTTATTAATGGCTGCAACTGAATTGCACATTAAGGATGACTCCTTCCCAGCCAACCCTCTGCCCTTGACTTTCAATAGGGTTTCACTTGTAACACAGTCTTGACTGTCCTTACAGACAGCTACCTCGATGAAGTAGTCAAGGCAAGCATCCATGGTGGACAGCCAACTAACCCTTTGTATCTTCACTCCAGCCTGCCATTCCATCCACAGAATTGCTACACGACAATCTCAGCTCATGAAGGCAGGACACAAATAGAAGAGTGTGCTCTGAAGACAACACCAGCTAAGCAAGATGGCCCACATGCTAGTTTACAGAAGCCACATGCTGGTTTACAGCCAGCTGAAGAAAACAGAGCTAATGTATGAACCAAGGAGTCAGTGTCTGATTGCAGCAGTGTTTCTCAGACGTCAAGTCAAAATGTGGAGCCTAAACACAAATGCAAAAGAGAGACAGACAAAGCTGAGGGGCAATAGTTCACAACAGCTGCCATAAGGGGTTAAGGGTCAAATGGGAAAGAAACACTTTCACCCTGATTTTTACATAAAATATTAAATTTCCCTGACAGCTACTAGAATTCCATTCCAGGCCATAAAGAACAAAGAAAGAAAAGAAGAGAAGAGAAGAGAAGAGAGAAGAGAAGAGAAGAGAAGAGAAGAGGAAAGGTAAAGGGAAAGAAAAGGAAAGGGGAAAACTAAGAGAGAATATGAGATATCCAAATTGGGAGTGCAAAGGGCTTCACAGACTTTTCCAGTGGAACAGGCAGTGAAAGGTATGAAAGGTATTTTTAAAGCAGCCACTAAAAGCCCTTCTCCCAAGGGCCTTCAGCAGATTAAAAACTCATTCAAGAAAATCTGAGTCTTGGTTGAAAAAGAAAAGTGTGTGTGGCACTTAGCAGTGACTTACTTCTTCTCCATCCTCAGCTCAATGTAACTTAAATGGGGAGGGAGGAGACCAAGGGGGGCCGGGAACTAAAACCAAAACATGCAAAAGCTCATACTGGAAAAAGTAGGGAGTCAGTGGTCCCCTCTGCACCTTGTACAGACACGGAAACCATGCAAATGTGGCTCAGGTGTTCTGCTCACAGGCAGAGCAAAGTTTCTATGCTCAGAAAAGAGAGGCAGGACAATAGCCCAACTCCTCTGGGCCCTCTCTTAGTGGCAGCACAATGAAGCGGGTGTCACTCCAAAAGAAACAGGACTCTATGCTCATCCACAGTTCCAGAGCAGTAATGGGAGAGAAGGAGTCTAAGATTAAAGATCTATAAACCCCCTCAAAAAAATAGAGAAATTCAGACTAAGCACATTCTTAGAAAAAGGAGATTATTATAATGAGCAATTAAGAGGATACTGGAATCCACGTGAGACCAAAAAAAGCTAAGTTGGAGGCTGGCTATTTACCAGAAGACACAGGAAGCATAGCTAGCAAAACTCCCACCCACTAGGATCAAAACAAACTTCAAACATTGGTCTTAAACCTACTCCTGCAGAAAGGCCAGCATTTAATTGTGTCAGATTGCAGAGGAAGTATGCCACCAGCATTACAAAAACTAGAGCTGAACAGTTAAAGGATGATGCTGAATGACTAGAGTGATACCAGCAGACTGCAGTGTGAGGAGAAGCCAAGGCAGTCAGAGCCAACCATGCCAAATCCTGTCATCTCAATGAATATACATGCTCAACTTTCTAACGTCTGAGAAAGTGGCATCAGAAGCTTTCTGTGCAAAAGGCTCAAGTCGAATGAATCAGCCAAGTCATAAGCAAGCAAATAATACCTTCTGAAAAGGTGGGCAGTAGGTGAAGGGACCAGCTCCCCATTTCAGCAGCCATGACAGTAGCACATGCTTGCCAAGACCTTGACTTGGTCACTAGGAGGTTAGGTGCCTGCCTCGTGGCAAGGAACCAATCAGAAGTTAGCTGGTGGTGCTATACTTTCTGGCTCTGGGTGTGCTTTACAGAGAAGTACACAGCAATGACGTGCAGAGCATAACAACCACCCTGGGAGGGCCTATGGGCCATAACAACCAGCTGACCAATCAACACAGGGCAAGCCCTCCAAGCCTAGAGGCACACCAATCCTGAGCCTGTGTGTACCCCGAGACACTCTCCTTACACTGCCCTATAAGATCTCTATGCAGACGATTTGAGCTGTCTTTCCTAGCCATCTACCATGACGGGTGGATGAAAGACCCGAGCTAACATGGGGTTAGCTCATTAAACAACTATAAATAATAAAGCCTCGTGCAGTTCACATCAAGTTTTTGACTCCACCTGGTGATTGGGGTGACCTCGGTCCTGGGCTGAGATCCTGGAGGCCTGAGCTTCCGGAGGGTCTTAACAGTAGGAACCAGTATGAATACAGATTTTCAAAAATATTTCATTTTCAATAAAGCATTGCATCCAAAGATAGCAATATGACTAGCACATGAAGGGCCTAAGGAAGCTACAGAAACTGCCCCCAGGCAAGCAAGCACAAGTAGGTTTCAAAGCAGCTCTTGGTACTGTTTTCAGAGAAATAAGGAATCATATCTGAAGTGAAGCAAGGTATTCAGACACTTTGTGTTTCCAATGGGAATTCTAGGATTGAAAACTAACAACACTCCACAGCAGCTCAACAGTTATTCCCCATCTGAAATGGGGACTGCTAGAAGGCAGTGGGGCAGCAGTCACTCAGAAAGAAAAAGAAAATCTAGTCTATAACAATAGGACCAACATCTCAAAAAGAAAATTAAAACCTCACACACACACACACAAAAAAAATAAATGCTTTGCTGGCCAATTCAGTCTACAGATTATATAAGATAGTCTTCAATGTAAACAAAATGAACTCCAACAGTGATTCTAAAGCACGGGACAAATACAACATTGAAGTAACAGCAAATTTAAAACCCTGGGGAAATGGTCATTTCCTCCCTTCTTTTATTAACTGATTAAAAAGCAACTGAGTCAAATAATAGATACATAATCCACACATTGAAATGCATTTAAAATAAAAATGAATAGAGATAAAGGTGTGCAGATATAAGGAGAGGACAGTGGATAGGAACATGAATATGTTGTCCACAAAGCAAAAATGGCTAGCAAGAAATATAAACCACATCTCCTTGTTCATCTTTCTCCTTCCGGCTCCTAGAAGGAGCTATAGGACTAATGTTGTAATAATGACTTCACTTTGTATCACTAAGGATATACACACATAATAATAACAACACAGAGAAGAAGAGAAGGAGAGAAGGAGAGAGTCATAAAAACATGTCTGTTGTAGAAACACTAGGTCAAGAACATATATGGGGATGTCTATGTCCGCCCACAATGTCTAATTTGCAGGAAATTCCTGCTTCACTTGATAGGCAAATACTGGTTCTTTTAATCCAATATTGACTGATATTAGCTAGTAACTAATATTAACCAACATCATGCATTGCATATCGCATGGCAAATATGCAGACATATACATGTTGGCATGTATATATGTAGATCACAAAGTGACTAAAGCATTAAAAAGGCAAGGAGTTTCCAAGAAACTGGGAAATCAATGCACATATAGAGGAGTCTTGGAGGTGAGACCACCTGTAGAGGCACTAGGGCTGCCGATGCAGAGTCGGATGGCAGGGTCAAAGCTACAGAGTCCAGCAACAGAGGTGAAAGGGATGAATTAGGTGTAGAAAACCAAGCAGATGGATGGACAGCAAGTCTGGACAGGTAAACAGAAGACAGACAGATAGCAATTAGAGTGGGCTACAGCAAAACCAAGGAATAAGCCAAACCAAAAAATCTGAGGCAGTCAATCTTGTGTCTGTTGGTCCCTGGATGCACATACGTAGTGGTCAAACAACAGAGCAATGGTGCTTTCACCACAGCATGGCTAGGTTTCCATCGCTTTATGGAGTCCAGATGAAGAAGTTGTAACCTCTCCTCTCTCGGGGGTGTATACTAAATTCTCAAGAATATTTTTTCCGAATATATCAATATGCTCATGTGTCCAATTGCCCAATACATTTGTGAATAGGAACCTTTCTACTCCTAGTAACAAGTTAATTATCTGCACTGCACAAATAGGGCTGGCCATTCATGCGTCAACCCAGATACAGAGCCATCTGCCATCTTCAAAATGGAGTCAAAAGATGCTTGTAAAATGGTCCACTCACAGGTAGGCAAAGTCTGAAAAAAACAACAGTTTATATAATAGTACAACAATTTAGG